GGGGAGGTGGGTGGTTTTAGCTTACTAGACGCCTGGATGGTGCAAACAGTTAAGCGTTCAGCCACCAACCAAAAGCTTGGCAGTTCAAGTGTACCCAAAGGTGACTCAGAAGAAAGGCCTGGCAATCTCCTCCCAAAAGATAACAGCCATTGAAAACCCTATGGAGCACAGTTCTACTCTGATACACATGGGGTTGCCACGAGTCAGAGTCAACTCGATGGGCACTGGTTTAGTTTTGCTGGGGTTTTTTTTGGTAGGTTACTGGAAGGGGATCTTACAGTCAGACCTAGATGCTGCATCCATTCTTCTGGGGTTCAGCATCAAGAACACACAAAGACATGAGCAGAAGCTACCAAACATACCCTTGTGCCTTGAACTTCTCAACATCTTCTCCAGGGTTCCTGCCTCCAATCCAAAGAATCTGGCTAAAACAAGAAACAGGTCTTTGAGCAAATCCGGCCAAGTAATAGTCCACGGTGAACAGGGCCATGGCATTCAATTTACCTAAACTGAGGGAAGTGCTTGGTGAAGTGTGACAGGACCTCGTCTATCTGAACAGCCAGCTCCCGTGTGGGCGTGATGATTATGGCGCCAACCTACCCAACAGAGGGAAGCAACAGGATGAGCAGGGCCGCTGTGCAGAGCTGAACGTGTGCTTCAGCAGCACCAGGCACAGCGCATGTTAACCACAGTCCACCCTCATCATTCACGGTTTCCTATTTGCACATTCAGTACTTACTAAAACGTATTTGTAACTGTAATTTGTAATTTGTATCTGTAACGCTTTCATGATCATTCACAGACATGCCCAAAGCTGTGAATAATTTGAGTCACCCCACTGCCTGTTCCCAGCTGAGGTGGAACAAGGCCATGCTCTGCCTTCTTGCTTCAGCTCTCAGACTGTAAACAAGTGTTCTTTTCACTGTCTATTTAGTGCCATGTTTTTCACATTGTTGTGCTTTTTGCTGTATTTTTTACTGTTTAAAACGGCCCCCAAGTGCCGTGCTGAAGTGCTGTCTAGTTTCCTAAGCAAGAAGGCTATGATTGATGTGCCTCACAGAGGAAATAGGTGTCTTAGGTAAGCTTCGTCTGCACATGAGTTATAGCACTGTTGGCCATGAGTTCAATGTTAATGAATGAACAATGTATGTTAAATAAAGTGTCACTGAACAGAAACAGACATAAAACAAGGTTATCTGGTGACCGGCTGAGGAAAGTATTGGGACCAGAGGCTCACAGGAATTTAGCCCTGTTATTTATTTCCACTGGAATAATGGCTCAGTACTTGCTAATTCACTATTCGCAGTGACTTTATAGAACGTAACTACAGCACACGATGAAAACTGACTGTACTGTGCGTATTTTTTCCAAGTTTTTGACCAACCTCCTTACTCAACTCCGAACTCTCTGAGGATTAAATGAAAATAAATCACTCAGTTACACTCACCTGACATTTTTTTAATTTCTCTTCCCTTCTCAGAAGAATTTCCAGGATGGGAATGACAAAAGCAAGGGTTTTGCCACTACCTGTGACCTACAAAAGGGGAGACAGTTTTGGTCTGATTGTCCCCAAAGGCCATTTTGGGGGGACGTGCGAGGACAGGCCCCATTTCCACCAGATACTCACCGCTTCTGCGGCGACGTCTTTGTTTTTCATGAACAGAGGGATGGTTGCAGACTAGGGAAAGATTGCAAAGCAGCTGGTGAGAGAAGGCCATGAACCCACAAGTGAGGGTAAAAGCTCTGGGAACTCCGCCGGGGTGATTATTGAGGCCCCAAGGAACATTTGGTAATGTCTGGAGACATGTTAAGTTGTCAAAACCTGGAGTGGGGGTAGAAGCCAGGAACGCCAAATATCCTACAATGCACAGCTCTAGACTGTCAACTCTGATGCAGATGGTAAGTCTTCTTTGCACTGCATCCCCAAGGACTGGCACACAGCACTCTCAGTTTTTACCTCCAGCCCCATCTGCTTCCTCCACATCTTTCCTGAGAATCTTATGGACATCCCCGTCTCAACATTTCCGAACATGACTCCGGATTTTCCCTCTGAAGCCTGCTACTCTTCTCAGGTTGCCTCATCTCAGTCAGTGGTACCACCATCTACCCAGCTGCTAAGGACAGAAACCTCAGGGTCCCTCCAGATTCCTCTTTTGTAACCCCTGTATCCGGTCCCTCAACACCACAAAGCTATCCTGAATCTGACTTCTCAGTATCCACTCCCTCCACCCTAGTCCAAGCCACCATTACTGTTCACCTGACCGTGGCCTCCGAGCTGAGCTCCCTGCTTCTTCTTCTGCCTCTCTCAAGTCCATTCTCTACACAGCAATCATCTCCCTTCCCATTTTATAGACTTTGATGGCTTCCCACTTCATCTAGAATAAAATCCAAGTTCCTACAAGACTCTGCACAATCCCACTCATGCTTTCCTCATCTCTTAAACTACTCATGATGCTCCAGCCACAAAGGTCTTCTTTCTGTTCCTCAAAACTCATTCCAGCCCCAGGGCATTTGCACTGGCATTTCTCTCTACTGGAACAATCTGCCCCTAATCATCCCACAGCCCCAAGCAGGTCCCTCCTATCCTGTACCTTCTCATCGCTATCACATCACTCAGTTTTAGTTCCTTCACAATACTTATCAACAGCTGAGACTCTATTATCCGTGTACTCCTTTTTCTCTGTCCTGCGCTAGCACACAAGGTTCATGAATGGTGACCATATATTATGTTCACTGAACAATCCTCAGCATCTAGAAAAGTACCTAATGAGACACGGTAGGTCCTCAATAATATTTATTGACTAAATTAATAGACTGGGCAGGACACTAAACTTACCACACACAGTAAGAGTAATAACAAGTTCGCATTTATTGTCTCATTTAAGCCCCGCAACAACTCTCCGAAGCAGATAACATTATTGTCACTTCACAGATAAGGAAAATGAAGTACAGAGAGGTTAAGTCATTTGCCCGAGATGTCAAAGCTAAAGGGGGCAGGGCCAAGATACAAGCCTGGCACTTGGGCGTCCGCGCGGCCAGCGCCCATCTCCGTCTGCCTGGATCACTAACCAGCTTCGCATGACCCGAGTCTGGGCAGCCTGAGCCCGCGGCAAAAGCCCCGGCCGGAGGGACAAGAACATAGTTCTGTGACCTGCCGGCTGCGTCCGATGAAGCGGTGCCTGCCCCGCTGGGAGCCTCACTTTCCCCATCCGCCCACTGGGGAAGGAGGGCCCTCGTCCCCCCGGGACCGCGCCAGATACCTGCACCGGCGTCATGTACGGGAAGCCAAGCTCCTGCAGCGCACCCAGCACCTGCGGGTGCAGCGGCACCGGCAGCGACTCCCAGGAACCCTCCGTCACGTGCTCCATGGCGGGCCCCTCCGCGACTGCCACCACCACCCGGACGCCTCCGATCCGCCACCAAAATGCACTTCCGCTTCCGGCCGCCAACAAGGCCGACCGGAAACGGCGCTCCTGAGGGCGGGGAGGTACCCTCTCCGCGGGACGGTGGTGGGAAGCGGACAGCGCGAGTGAAAGCAGGCGGCCGGGACAAGGCCGGAGTTGCGCCACCCGCGCTGCACAGCCACTTTGCCTCCGGCGCCTATGCACACCGAACAGGAATTCTGGAGAGAGGGATTCTGCCCCGGCCCTCCCTCTTTCTCCGCCCATCAGGGGCAGGTGGCAGCACAACACTGCGTCCCGGCCAAACGGCAGTGGGGCTGGCTGGACAGAATATGGGCACCCACCGCCCCCCAGCCGGGACCCTCACTTTAACAGATATGCAAAGGAGGGTTGATGGTAAGAATCCAATGCCTGGTACATAATGTTGGCTTAATTCAGAGGAAGTTACAGGGTCAGAGTCCTAAACAAGAGCAGTATCTTTTCCACTGGCCTTGGGCCTTTCGTTTGTCCATTCAAGCTTTCAGTGACCAATTACGTGCTGGGCTCTGAGGACCCTTCCCCGTTATGTACATGGTGTGCACCCTCACATCCATCAGGACTTTTCAAATGCCACCTTCTCATTGATGCTTCCCTTTCCTAACATCTCTTTCCTTTATTTTTAATCTTTTAATAGCACCATTAATATACTTTATAATTTACACATTCAGTTCATCTCCCCTCCACTAAAAGGTAAATTCCATGACAACGTGGATTTTTCTGTTTCCTTTATCCCGGTGACTAGAACTGTAGCACACGGCAGCCAAATATTTATGGGATGAATGAATGAGACGGGGAAGGTGCTCGTGTTAACTGACTCCAGTCTTCTCAAACTAAAGTGAAAGATCAAAACCTGAAGCAAGGATTTTCTCTGAAATTGGATCACCATGCCATGAACACACCTTTGACAACTGTTTCATAAAGATGGGACTTGCAGAGATGGCTCTGAACACAAAGGTCCAGGGAAACAGCAGGCTGGTTGTCATTTTGGGCTCTATTCCTTAGCTTCGTGATCTTGGGGCCCTTTCTGCTTCCTCACTGCAAAATGAGGATGACGTGGCAGCTGAGGTAAGGGCTATTTTAAGGAATAAATGACACAGACCCCATAAAGCACTTAACACTGTGCCCGAACATTATACAGGAAGAAACACTAGTTCATTACTGACAGGCTCCTTGGTTTAACAGAGGAAGAGGAACAGTTTCAAAAGGCAGAGATCTAGTCTATGGTTACCACTCACTCTAAGGGTCTTGGGAAAATCACTGCATCTGTCTAAATGCATTTCCCCTATTCATAAAACCAGGTGATCGAGTGAAAATTTTCAAACTTTTCCTTTTCCAAATGAAAGCAATACTTACGTCGTGAACACTGACCCATCAAAGAAATCATATAGGGAAATCTAAAATTGGGTTTCTGTTCACTATCCTCAAGTTTATAGATAAAAAAAGCTACAGACATTTGTAATGGGCATAATTACCCCAAAAGCATGGGCATGTCTCATTTCCAATGTGAATACAAAGCTGGTATTTAACAAACGACATGAATTAATCATCATTAATATATAAAACACAGAACACTAAGGCTGTTTTTAAAAAGAATTGTTTATTTACTGAACCTGGGGCATATTAGATACACAACCAATTTCAAATTTACATAGGTTAATTCAACTTTGAAGTGTTTTCACACACAAAAAAATTGGCATGCAACAGTTGTCTTAAAGTGAAACAGTCACCTTACCGATAAACTGTTGCAAGTATTTTCACCCAAGGTTGAAAAAATTGTTTATCCTGAACATGAAAACCTGTAACAAATTTAAATTAATTATATAAAACTCGTTACTTGCAGCTTTCCCCTTGCAAAGATCCAAGAAAAAATGTACAAGTAACTAATATACATCAGTCACAACATAATCCTGGATCACCCCCACACCAAAACCAGATGCTCCTTTAATTTTAAACCCATCATCAGAGATCGAGAGAAATGCATTTCATTTTATATAAAACAAAATTCACATGTGCAGAAAATGAAAGACCCAAGAGGAACAAAAACAAAAACCCTAGTACTGATACTAACGTTCAGTACCCTAATCAAACAGTGGCCCAAAATGCCACTGAGCAAAAATAAAATAGTGGCTGTATATCATCGCAATGAAATCCAAGAGGCTTTAACCCTTTGGCATCAGAAATCCAGATTTTTCCGAATATGTGAACGCACACTTCCTACATGCCAAAAGAACGTGGACATGCCAGCAGAGAAGGAAAAAAAAGAGCTACCATCCGCTGAAACACGCAGAGAATCAGCTTTAACAGAGGCTTCTTACAAGATTAGGCAGAAACCAAAAAGTGGTTATTAGCTGCTTAAGTCAACAATTTAAGTGGAGGTGATTGAGTCCTAAAGTTCAACGTAAAAATTTAGGAGGGAAAACGTGTGTTTTGGGCAAGTCTTATCTTTAAAGCAAAAATAAAATAAAGAATATATAAAAGTACCCAACCATGGTGACATATTCCGAAGTCAGAGAGCTCTGCCGTTAGGCTGGGAAGAAATGTCAAGATTCAGACTGTTGTTTAAGAACTCAACAAAATGAATCTTTACTGACTTAAACTGCAGGATGAGGGATCCAAGGAGTGCAGTCATTTTAGTAAAGTACTATCAGGCTTTGTGCTGATCTCCTGAACAAACTGCTTTTTATTATGAAAACAAGAGAGGACATAAAAAGGACTATACTTTTATATTTCATTTACAAGGTTTGAGTTCTGGAAGGACCTATATAATGGAGGCAGAATTCAAATAAGAAAGTATGCCAGTCGAACATCAACCTTCCTAAAGAGATGTTTTCCCCCAATATCTATTAATTGCAAAGAAACATAAGCTGTGAACGTACAGTTCAGAAAATAAAAATGTAGAAACTAATGACAGTATTGTGACCAAGATATTTGGTAAACAGTGAGTTATGAGTTTGGGATCATCAGAAAAAGGCTTTTTAAACAACCCTCCGGACTTCAAAAAATCTCTTCAGATAGTAGATCTGTCCCAATGTCATGGCAACTAGAACGAGAGCTTCAAAGAAGGACCAAAGGACCACTCTGCTGTTTGTGTTGTCATTGACTGTTGAGGGCAAACAAACAAACACAATTTAACAACCAAAACAAAGCACAGGCATTATAAATCATCCCCTAGTCACTACTTTGTGAAAGTTAATTATTCTAAGCACCATTTTTAGTACTCTAAATATATTTGTAACTTTTGTTCCCAAGCAACTCAACATACTTAGCAAAGCATTTCGGATTTAAAATGGACCTTAAACAGTCAAGCCCACTGGGCTTAAATATGGAGAAAAGAGAAGACAAGTTGCCAAAGGCCGCATTTTAGGTTTAACACCCAATTCAACCTTCTTCCTCCCTCACCACTGAAATGTCCTACTTTATAATAATCCTTCCTGCTGAATCACAAAATTGAGGAAAAAGCACAATTAAGGGATTATTTCGAGATCACAGAGCTACCCAAAAAACACTGCGCATAGTCAGAATGGGTTTGGCTATGTGTCTTTCTCCTTAACCCTTTTGTGACCAGAGGGACATACAGTGCCCACCTACATTTTCTGCCTCTGGGGTTTACTGGGAAGCTGCTTTCTCACTGACAGTATGTGCAGCTGTCAGTAGGGGAGCTGTTTAAACTGCTGGTTAGCAGTACTGAGTACCTACTATGCTCTTAGCATTTGTTCTGGAGAGGAGAGGTTTCTCAGTTACCACCAGACTATCAAATACAAGACAAACTTTTGACTATTTTCACCGTTTATCCCACTCTCAAACTGAAGAATTGATCCTTAAAGTAATATCTTGTATTAATTTACTGGCACATCCTTTCAAGTTTCTGATCAAATTCTATGGCCTTTACTTTTTTAAACTACTAGGTAGTTTCTTATTTATTCTGCCGATGGCCAATATTAAAAAGTTATCATTAGCAATCTAGTAACAATATTGATCCGCTGAATAAGTGACTGCCATGTATTTTTCAATAACTTTTTTTAATTGTACTTCAAATGAAGGTTTACAGAGCAAATTAGTTTCTCATTAAATGATTAACATACATATTGTTTTGTGACATCAGTTGCCAAGCCTGTGATGTTTAAACACTCTCCCCTTCTCAACCTTGAGTTGCCCATTTCCATTCATCCAGCTTTCCTGTCCTCTCCTGTCTTCTTGTCCTTGCCCCTGGGCTGGTGTACCCATTTAGTCTCGTTTTGTTTTATGGGCCTGTTTAATCTTTGGTTGAAAAGTGAACCTCAGGAGTGACTTCAGGACTAAGTTAAAAGGGTGTCCGGGGGCCATACTCTCAGGGTTTCTCCAGTCTCTGTCAGGCTAGTAAGTCTGGTCTTTTTTTGAGTTAGAATTTTGTTCTACATTTTTCTCCGGCTCTGTCCAGGGCCCTCTATTGTGATCCCTGTCAGAGCAGTCAGTGGTGGTAGCCGGGCACAATCTAGCTGTACTGGACTCAGTCTGGTGGAGGCTGTGGTAGTTGTGGTCCATTAGTCCTTTGGACTAATCTTTCCCTTGGGTCTTTGGTTTTCTTCATTCTCCCTTGCTCCAGACCAGGTGGGTGACTGCCATATATTTAAATATATGTATACCATTTTAAAAATTAACTAGAATTGTAGTACCTACAGGATTATGATTACTCAATAAGAAGTGAAAACCTATTACAGTGTTTCCAAACGGCTGACTTATAGTTGCTCAAAGGTTGGGATTTTCTTTGCATAGTAACAACAGACACACACCCAAGAACACTAACTAGAACTCTAAAAACCACCTAAATCACTGAAGTTTTCCTATTAATTCTCTAACATCCAATTTACTTCTACTGAAAACTTAGTAACCAATTTCTAGCGTAACTGCAAATTTACTACCATTTTAAGATTATGTCTCAAGGGGAATGGTTAAGTAAATATTTCAAAATATTAGGTAACCACTAAAACATGCTTTAGAGACATGGAAAAATG